CTACATAAAACCACTGCTTGGTTTTGACTACGTTTTTCCCCAACAAAAATCAAGATTTAATCAACACAATATATAATAACATATATACTTAATATTAATTGTTTTTAAAATAACGAAATTACGATCATCAAAAGATTTAACCTGTAAACTAATTCAGAATGTCACCAAATTTTAATATCTATCATTTCAAAGATTCGGTTCTCCACAAATTATAGCAATTTGTCAACAGTGTTGCCATATATGTGTCAGAATATAAACTTATTGAGTGATATATATATATATATATATATATATATATACATAATTTTTTGATTATTTATTTATTTTTATATTATAAAAAAGTTTTACATTTGTACAATTTTTATATCTTTTAGGTGGATGATCAAATGAAGCTGTTACAGCATTCCTGGTCTGATATGCTAGTACTCGATCATCTGCATCAAAGAATACATAATGCGTTACCAGATGAAACACTACTTAACAACGGTCAAGTATTTAATCTTCTTGGTCTGGGACTGCTTGGAGTGCCTCAGCTGGCTGATTATTTTAACGAACTACAAAATAAATTACAAGACCTGAAATTTGATATGGGCGATTATGTATGCATGAAATTCTTAATACTGTTGAATCCAGGTAAAAAAACAAAATTTTTTTTAATTGAATAAATCATATAAATAATATTTAATAAACAATTGATTGATTTTTCAGATGTAAGAGGAATTATTAATAAAAAGACGGTTTTGGAAGGACATGAAAATGTACAGGCAGCATTATTGGATTACACTTTGACATGCTATCCATCAGTAACGGTATGTATGTGAACAGTGTTAAGTAGAAGTATCAAAGGATGCATTAAGTAAAATATTAAAATTGTACCACCAAGTAAACTATATATTAAAAAAGTATTAAAAAGCTAGTCGAAAATGAAATAAAACTCCCTTTTCTTATTTATTGCAGGATAAATTTAGGAGGCTGCTAAATATTCTTCCTGACATACACGCAATGGCAGCAAGAGGCGAAGAACATTTATACTCAAAACATTGTGCCGGAAGTGCACCTACACAAACTTTACTAATGGAAATGTTGCATGCAAAGCGAAAGGTGTAAAATGTGCAGTTATCAAATAAGCAAAAAAAGTTAGAATATAAAATTACTTTAGTTTCATATATTATTTTGTTTAAATTAACAAATATCAAATAACAAAACAAAACAAACAAGATTAACCAAAAACAAAAATAAGGAATTTTAAAGAAAATTTAAACACAAAAGTTCATTATACCATTTTAATGTGAATTAAATTTACAACTTTTTCTGCAATATTTTTGACTATATAGTGTACAAAATTTAAATAAGGAAATTTACTTAAAAGTGCTTAAAAATTAAAAATTTAGCGTTTCGCATGGTTTTAAACCAAGAAGCTTGATATAAGAATGTATATATATAATATAAAATAAAAAAAAACAAAATACATGCAATTAAAAAAACAAAAAACAACGCAAAATTTATAAAAAAAAAAACATATACATATATATATAGTAATATATATATATATAATAGAACATAAAATGTACTAAAGATATATAAATAATATATTTGTTGATTGATGTTATAATGTAATAATATTAATGTTCTTCATTATCAATGAATTAAGTAAGTACAATCTATATATATATATATACATATATATATATATTTACTACACTGTAACATATATATTTATAAATATATTTTATTTTTAATACTTTCTTTTACTATATTTAATTAATAATTTTAAATTAATTTTAATTACAATAAATAGTGTTCATTTTATTTTTTAAATAATTAATTTTTGTATGTGTATTTGGATTTTTAACGTTTTTATTAATAATAAGTATAGTTATTAATATAAGATAAAATATATGTGTAATTTAAATCAATCAATTTACAAGAAAAAGTGTTGATTATATATAATTATTTACAAACAGAAAAGAAATATATATAAAATTATATAAATATATATATTTAAAAATTACTAAAGAGTTCTTGGCTAGATGTGTAAGCATCCATATTATGGAGTAAAAAAAAATATTTAATTTTAAATTGTAAGCAAATCGTACCTTATAAATATATTATACACTGTACACACCCTACATTCAGTACTTTATGTAAGCGCATTGGTGGGTGTATATACGTAGTAAGGAAAAGGAAAATTACGTTCTGTAATTATATTGTAAAGTGTAAATTAATTTCTATAATTGTATATATACACATACATATTGACAATTCATTTTTGTATTGCTTAATATGTATGTATATGTAACGTTAGGATAAACTATAAAATAGGCATTGTTGAACACCGTGTAACGAATGATGTGAATAAAAACTGTTGAAAAGTGATTTTAAATTTAAGCAAAACAAACACTTTTAAAGTTTTAAGTTTTAATTGTTATTATTATTATTATGTACTATTAAAAAAAATGTTATCACTTCATCTCAGAGATGTTTCAAAAACACATTTTGTAATAAACTTCTATTACACTCCTGACTCATTAAACAAAAACAAGCTTGTTTTCTTTTATATTCAATGGATCAATTAAAAAAATAATTTTAATAATTTAAGAAATTGCTACCCTTTTTATATAATAAGAAAAAATTTAACTTTGGTTTTGCAGAATTTTAAATTCATTTCACATTTATAGTTTTTTACACAAATTAATTATTCACTAGTTACTTTTTATAACTATGTTTTTAAAATTTTCTCTCTGAGGTAAAAATCAGTCCATATATATCCTTAAAAAATTTAAACTATTTTTGCTAGTTATTTTATGTATACATAAAATATATAGTCAACCTTTTCACTTTTTGTTTATGTTTGTGAATTAGGATAATTAGGATTATTAATCTTAATTTAGAATGCTTATAGATCATTTACCATTTTTTTTAATAGCTAAATATATTATTTAGTTTTAGTTATTATGTTTTAAAGCAAATTCTTATTCCAAATGTATGTATCCATACCAATTTTGATTGTAGACTCTTTTACTTAGACTCTTTTTTATTGGTTTTGCACGCGCATCAAGAAGTAGTAGGCTTGTAGCATCGGTTAATCATATTATAAAGTGTACATAAAGTTTAAATAAATAAGGGGCATAAGTAATATCATGAGTAGCGGGTATAGCGGGTATGTTATTCAAAAAGGAACTAAAGAACTAGTAAGTGTGCAATCAATAACATATTTCGGAAGCGTTACAATACATAAAAGCGGAACAGAGGTATTTATTGCTAGAATAAAGAAAACTAGAAGAGGTTTTGTGCAACCTATAAAGATATGGAACTGCAGCCATATATTCACACCATAAAATTTCGCATATTCAATACAAACATAATGGCAGATCAATTTTATGGGAATGAAATATAGAAAAGTACAACTAAAATCCAGTCAAGAATTAAGATTTTCATAAACCTGGTGACCCCAGAGAATATACTATTTCGATCTATTAGGTCAGACGAGCCATACTAGAGTAAAACAAGGAATTTATAAACGCAAACGATAAGGGCGAACTCTCAAAAGACCCACAATGTTATAAATGTCCTTGGGCGATAACAGTCGAATACGCATCAAAAGATGAAAATTATTCATACCGGCATCATTGTATATTTATGAATCATTCATTCATATACTAGGTGGATTAATAAGTTTCGACTTTATCAGATGTTTGGTTAGCTTTTTGCAAATAATTGAAATATTGCACCTTGGTGATTTTTTATAAAATGAAATAAATTAAATATCGTTCAGTAATAAAATTCATCCATTTGAAAGGAATGAACAATAATGCAACCAAATTGGAAATGGATTCTGTTTACAGCTACCTTGACACCATCACTAACAACAATAAAATATTGGAAAGCTGAATTTAAACGTTGTCGTACGAGTATTTTTAATGAAGAGCGTACGAATCACCCAAAAGAGATCACAAATGAAAAAATATTTAAAAACATCTACGATATTGTGTTGGATGTTTCAAAAATTAAATTGCGTGAGATAGCAGAGGTGACAAACATATCATATGAATGTGTATCGAATATTTTATATGAATATTTGGCTTTCTGGGTGTTGCGTTTGCTCACAATTAACTAAAAACGATAATGACTTTCGTCATCCAAAACTGACTGTGAGTGTCGAATAGTGACAATTGATAAAACAGAGATGGGTACAGCCCGTGGGTAGAGTTCTCAAATGAACACGAACTCAACAATCGGCAAAGTTTTAGCTTTCGTATTTTAGGATTCAAGTGGAAAAATTTTCATAAACTATTTGGAAAAGGAAAGAGAATAACATCAGACTACTATTGCATATTATTGGATAGATTAAATGAGAAAATAACAATAAAAACCACCACATTTTTGGAAGATTTGTCGTAAAATTTTGCTTTTACAGGATACCACACCAGCGCACTCGTCAATGAAAAATTTAATTACGGTACGAATTGCTTCTACATCCACCGTGTTCTTTAAATTTGGTTCACAGTAACTATTACCTGTTTCCATATTTGAAAAAATGGCTCAAGGGAAAGAGATTGAAGTGGAATCAAATAATAAAGTGAAATGAGAAAGGTATATTTTGGAGGACTTGATAAATCGTTTTATTTAAAAGATATCCAAATGTTGAAAGATCGTTGGACTTGGTCTGATTCCTTTAATTTATAAGAAATATTTAAACAAATTTAATATCTTTATATATATAATTCTTCTGTACGTATGTTGACAGTGACCTCCTTTTAAACAGCTGAACCGATTTTGATTAAATTTTTCGTGTGTGTTCAAGTGGATTCGAGAATGGTTAGATTCACAATTTGGTGCACTGGATAATGTTTTTTAATTATTAAACAGTTTTTTGGTGTCCGTATACATTTATATTAGATATTTAAAATTTATTCATGCTTACCACCATAACTTAAGAATGCCACCACATAACTTAAGATTAAAAATTGGCTCACCTATAATTATGCTGCGAAAAATGCACCTAATCTATTCACCTAAGCTATGCAACGGCACGAGATTAGTCATAAAAAAAATTATGGGCAATGTACTTGAAGCTACAATTTTGAATGACAAATTTGAAGGTGAAGCTTTTCTCCTGCCACGAATCCCAATGATCCCTTCAGACGCACCCATTCCATTCAGACGTCTGCAATTTCCAATTCGCTTGGCATTTGTCATGACTATTAATTAGTCACAAGGTCAAACAATGTCGATTTGTGGGATAGATGTAGAAAATCAGATCTTTTCACATGGCCAATTATATGTGACGTGTTCTCGCGTTGGAAAACCGTCAAATTTATTCATTTATACTCCTCAAGAATTGACTAAAAACTGTGACTGTTCATCAACTCGTATTAAGATGAAATTAAACAAACATTATTGATTATTACGAATTGTTTTTAGAAAAATTGATGTTATTTCAAAGTAAAGAATAAGAAAATTATTACATTATATGTGTGTTTCATATCTTACTTTGTTTAATATCCTAATCGCTTAGTATACCATTCCGGACAACATGTGTTGGCTCCGCTAGTATTCTATATATTCACAGGAATAAATGTAACATGTTAATACCAAATACGTCTATGGATTACTATTAACTATTATTTTATTAATAATATAGTTCAGTATATAAATAACATTTCTCAGTTATTTTATTTTATTTATTATAACATTTAAAATTAACTTATAGGTATATATATTTATTTGGTAAATTCTAATTCCAATACTAGACTACTAAATAAAAAATGAGAAGGCACTTACCCTTATATTTAGTACAGCAGCTAGCTTTGAATATAAGTATCACATCCGACATAAATTAGTAATTTGTTGCTATGAGATATTCAACCACCTGATAGTATAGTCCCAACACTTATAAACTAACTTGATATTATCACTAATAGGTATATCTGATCATCTCAGTTAGTACATAGGACATATACTGCATTCTTCAATACACATTCTGAAATTAAAGACGCAAAACATTTTCTGCAAAATCAATGTTTAAGAAGTTCAATAAGAAGTACCTGTTCTTTATGTTCTTGCCATATAATCCTTTCAGACAATTATCATAACAATTTATTTAGATCGGAATGATTGTTTTTAGTTATGGTTCAAATATATATTAGTGTTATCATCAATTATATCGCTACTCATTCTCATTTAAAATTAAATCCAATGATTTTGTATTTAAAACCTTTTACATGATTTCCTTAAGATGAGCAGAAAGGGATGATCTATGCATTTTGAATAAAAAGTTTTAAATTATTTGTCTCGAAATTGTGTAAGCCTACTTTTTTCCTTTTTCGGAAACAACAAACCTCACATCATTTTAGTGACTGAAACTGAGTTTCACTCAGAAGTTTTTTCTCATTCACAGAGAATTATTAGTTATTATCTTGGCAATAGATATACACTGCTATTTATATCAAAAACAAATTTTATTGTAATATACTAAATTATTGCATTATTACAAGTGAGAACTTTGTTGAATTACTATATATACCGTGTATCATAATTGGGAGATCTCAAAGTAAGATCAGGTATGGAGTTTTCTTTGAACTACTCTAATATTGTGAGCATACTTCAGGACTTGGCACTTTGACCTCACACCAAGCAAAGTTAGTTTGTTGATAAATTTCTAATGTATATACTTACAAAAAAAATTTTTTGTCTTACGAGAAGCTTACCATAACAATCACTTTTGATTGTACTTATGTTTTAAAACACGTGAGAAACACACTACAATATAGATTTGTTTACTTTATTGGTTTTAATACATTTATAATATTAACATTAAAAACTAAATAAAAATAAATAACAAAAACATTTTTATTCACGTACTAAAAATTTGACTTTATAAGGTTTTGGTGATAATGTGATTCCCGGCTGAAGTATTAACGAAGGCTTGTCAGTTTCTGCACACTCAATTTTATAATTTTGAATGATTTTTACGAGAAATGAGAAAATGCAGGCTCTTGCTAATGCATCCCCCAAACATCGTCTGCGTCCTTGTCCGAAGGGCATGAAATACTCGTCTTTTATTGTTTTACCTTCTGAATCAATAAAACGTTCTGGACGGAAAATGTCAGGATCACCCCAATGTGTTTTATCCATATGTACAGAGCGTAGACCAATCAATATCGTTGTATTTTTAGGAATATTGTATCCTCCTAAAGTTGTATCCCATAATGCTCTGCGAGGTCCAGTTATGGGTGTGATATGAAAGTATCTTTGAACTTCCATAATGAAAGCATCCAAATAGGGGTAGAAAGTTCGTGCACTTAGATGAGGAAACTCGTCAGTATTAAACTTGAGATTAGCAGCAATTTCCTGAGATATCGTTTGTTGTATATCTGGGCGTGTCGCGAGCATCATTAGGGCTAAATCTAAAGTATTACTAGTGGTTTGTGAGCCGGCTATAAAAAAGTCTAGAATTGTCATGGTAAGTTGGGTTTCATTAAAAGTGCTATTTTCTGCACCAAGATGGTTATTCATTTCTCGTATATATGCAAAAATTAAATCAGAATCAGCATTTTCGGGTGTCAATCGTTTTTTATGTTCTTCAATAGTTTCCATAAAAAAATGATGTAGCTCTTCATTCATTTGGCGCACTAAATTATAACCAGATTTGTCTGGTGCTATATGACGTAACCAAGGAAACTGAGTCAGCATTCCACCGCAAAGATCAAAGACTTTTGAGCGACGATTAAGCAAATCGAGCAGTTTAACCAAACGCTTATCATTACGTTCGATACGCTGTCCAGCAGTCAGGCACCACAAAACATTAATTACACTTTGTGCCAGAAATGTACCAGGCCAAATAGGTTCTGATTTTGTATTTTCAATATATGTTAATAAGCTATTGCATTCCTTTTCGATATGTTGTTCCATTTGTGTCCGACCATAACCTACATGACGCATTTGTTTCATAGCAAAATTTCTATGCTCATACCAGAGTTTTCCATCAGTGCAGGTTATACCTTTTCGCGTACCCATAGTACGTAAACGTAGAAAAAAGGTATCCGGTCGTCCTTCAAAAACTTCTTGCAAATGTACCTCGTGTACAAGTGTATAAGAGAGAACAACAACAACAAGTTCATCACGTAGCTTTAAGCCTAAGATATCTGTATTATATTTCTTTGACCAGTTCTCGAAAGCCATATGTTGTCCACCTAAGGCGATTGCGTCTTTTCGTAATTCAAAAGAATTTCCAACCCACGGACGAAATTGAGGACCTAAAAAATATAGATTAGTATAGTAATTTTATTTGTCATATTTAATATATACTCGTATATATTTATATTTTAAGAAATTTTGGTTTAAAACAACAAAATGGAATAGAATTCAAGTTTAAAGCGATTAATTATTATTTAATTGAATTTGCTGTAAAATCAATAATATATATGGTATATAGAATAAGGTATACCACATAAACTAGAGAGAAAGATATTATTATTTTTTATTTTGTACGATTAGAAAATAGGGTACTTGTATAGTTTTAATAACAAAAATTTGTATTGTGTTTCAGTAGGCAATTGAATGAAATTATTTAATAAATTGTGTAAATCTGATAAGTCCATAAAAACTTGTATTAAGCAACTCCTTATCAATATCAATTATCGTACTATCAAAAACTGGAAATTTTGATTAAAAATTCTACTTGTAATGCTACGTAAAATATGAAATAGGGTTTAATAACATAAGCCATTTGTAGACAATGGTTTATAAGTAAATAAGAATTATGTGGAAAAGGGTTTAAATAATTACGTTTACTCTATATTAACAACAAGATCATATCAACAACCTGAAGTTTATTTTTAAATTCCATTTTATTTTTATTATGTTATTAGACTGTGCAAAAAGTATTCGGCATTTTAATGTTCGCCTCAAATCACAGCAATTTATGTTTGTTATTGTTATTATAGTCCAGACAGGAGTGTTAGTTGTCTGTACAGATGCTTGTGTCACGTTTTGTAAATACGGGTTTTCCAGGATGACTTATGACTTCTTATACTGTTTATATAGGTAATTTGTCGCAGTTAACAAATAATAATTTGCTCGAATGTGAAAGAAGCCATTCACTGTGGTCAGCAAATCACAAATCATACGAGCAGTCATGATACATTGTGACCGAAAAGTTTTCGGAAATTCTCATTTAAAATTCGCGCGCTGTATATTTTTCGATATTTTAAGTTTATGTAGTTTGGCAGCACTTTCCTTAATTACTATGCCAAAAATGAGCGCGATCTGTCAGACAGTTCGTTTACGGCAGCTGTTGAAACCAGTTCACCTCAGTAGTGCGTTGCGAAAAAAACAATGGAAAAAAATATTGAACAAAGAGTTTGCATCCAATTTTGTGTTTCGAACGAAATTTCGTGTGCAGAATCGTTGCGAATGCTACAAAAGGCTTATGGGGAATCAGTTTTATCGAAAACTCAAGTTTATGAGTTGTACAAAGCCTTTCAGGACGGTCGTACGACCGTCGAAGACATGCCGCGTTCTGGACGACCTTCGACCTCTACCACCGACGAAAACATTGAAAAGGCAAAGGAAATCGTGTTCCAAAATCCTCATGTGAGTGTTAGAGAGATAGCACGAGAGCTAGGCATCGGTCGTGAGACCACGGCCTCAATTGTGGAAGGATAATTCATGGATTTTTCATGACGATAATGCTCCCTCGCACCGAGCCAACATTATCAACGATTTTAAGGCCAAACATTCAATAAATACCATCGAACAGCCACCGTATTCACCTGATCTTGCACCGTGTGACTTTTTCCTGTTTCCGAAACTCAAATTACCACTCAGAGGAACGCGTTTTGAATCCATAGAAGACGTAAAACAGAATTCGCAGAGGGAACTCAAAGCCATACCGGAAAGCGCCTATAAAAAATGTTTAAACGTTGGCATTTGTGTATCGCTTCTAATGGAGCATATTTTGAAGGAGATAAAATAAATATTGATGAAGATTAAGAATTTTGCGTTTTATTTTAAATTTCCGGAAACTTTTCGGTCACAATGTACAACTCACAAACTAGTGATAAACCATAATATTATTTTATCATTTGTAGCAATAAACATAATTCTACATTAATGAATAATGCCTCTAACCGAACAATATCAGAAAGTTGTTGAAAGAAATGGGAAATATTTTGATAATTAAAATCATTTTTTAAATGTACAATTTAAATATACACTATAAAGAATATTATGACTGAATATGTGAACGATCTCTAATTTACTTATCAAAAAGCAAGACAGCTGGACAATTGTATTATTTTACTAAAAACCAAAAAGGTTAGTTTTTAGTCCAATAAATATTCTAAAAATACTCATAAAATTGGTATTCAAATGAATTAGAAAATAAAGGTTCAACAACAAATTTTTTAAAAAAAATTTTAATCACTTTTGGATAAACATCATTTATCTCAAAATTTGTGATAATTTTATTTTTTAAATGTTAATATCTCATTATCTTGTCAATATATATGTAGCTTGTCAAATTTTAATGTAACATCAGCGTAACATATAATTTTCAACCCAATAGTACAAAAATTGAATATATCTGAAAATATTGTGTAACTTTATCACAGTCTTGGAAGGCAAAATCGGTGCATAAACCATTACTGCTGTTATAGTACATATTTAGACTGGATTAAACGGATTACACTTCTTCAAAATAATGAATCAAGTAGGGACAAGTACATCCACCATGAACAGATATGTATGATATCTTTTAAAAAAGAACTTATATAAATAGTCAGCAAGCTGAACGAAATAGATGTCTTGATTCTTACTTTCACTTTGCTCAATGAGCACTAAAACTAAAAAAACTATAACTAATTCCATTCTTAATATATATTAACAAAGAATTGCATATATAATTTTCTATAAAAACGTCTACTATTTCTGTTATACTTTGTTCGTGAACATACTGGATCACCCTAAAATATTCTTATGTTTTCAGAAAATATACAAAAATACAAGTTCACTAGTTAACATTTTTTGTCCCCGAGGACACTCTATGTACCTTTATAAATGGTACTAGTCCGCTCTTGCCAAGATTATCTTCAGTTTTTTGTATCATAATCCAAGTTGTTGGTGAAATGCCCACTTCTTTATTAATTACCGGTTACGTAACGGCTTATTACAATCGTTACGGTTTAAGGCATTTCTTGTGGGAGGATATCCAAAATTCTTGCTACATACTTTGAATGTACTGCCAATAATTCAGATTGCTACGGTTTACACAAGTTACATTCACCTTAACTTCAAGAACTAAAGTATATAGCCTTCTACTATTATTATTACTAATGCCTGAACGCGCTATTAAGCTAAACTTCAGGAATTTTAAATTTTTTTTTGGAGTATAGTTACAAAGAATATATGAAAACTTCTAAAATTCAATTACATTATTCTAGAAGCTATAAAAAACTGAACAACAAGCAAATATTTATTTGACACGGTTAAGAACCGATTTATATGTATTCCATTTTCAAATAATGACCATTTTGAATGTGGATAATAAGAATTTACCAGTTTTTTATTATTTAGTGCTTTCGGCAACTTTTAAGTGTGACAAAAAAACAGCATGCTGGTTGCTTAAAGTTGCTATGAAGTGGCAAAACAATTAAGCAACTACAGAAAAAAATGTTACCAAAGCCACAAGCAAACTACTGTGAACCCTAATTGGAAATTTCAACAAATATTCCAGTCATCTGTCAAAGTTGTGAACAAAAATCCATACAAAATTAAAAAGTTTTTGAAATATTTTAAAAAGATTCAAAATTGTGGAAAATAAATATTTTAAAAAATTTTATTTAATAAATAATTTAATAAAGAGGTTTTTTCGAACAGTAGTGAAATACAACAACAAAAATTTATTTTTTATATTATTTTAATTAATTGAATTTTTGGCTGACCATACAGCTGTTTCAAATATTGCCAAATACCCAACATCAGTGGTCTTGGAAATAATTCTTGTATTTAATTATTCGTAAATAATTATTTTTGAGACTCCAAGTACCAGGAATCGAACTCGGGTCCTGCCAAATGTGAAGCTCAGAATCAGCGCTACTTAACCAACTGATCCAAAGCCGTACTTGACTTTTTTATTCGCATATTTTTCTGGAGTTTTGTTACTATTACTATGAAAGTTTTTATTAACAATTTTACTTGCTGTGTTTATATTAGAACGAAATCATAAACCAACTATAGAATAATTGAATTAATTATTTAATTATAATTTTATATTCAATTGTTAAATTTCAATACTATTCTGTTCGTAGAGGCATTATTTGTTGTATGATTTGTTATATCTTATGTATAGAACCTAATATAGGAACGTAATGCTGAGAAAGTCATGCTAATGTTACTCCACTAGTCGCACGGACGAGACCAATATTTTGTGAATATAAGTTGAAATTTAACGTCGAGTTTTCCAGACGAAGCGACTATTATTTTT